TCATATACCAGATCAGTGATCTTAATGCCATTCTGSGGCAAGATTCTAAGATGCATACAAAGGGCATGACTGTGAGCTTCCAGAAGAGGAAGCCAGGATCATCAGAACTCTACATGGGTCATGTATAAATGAGACAGACTGATCAAATTTTCTTCTTCATGGATTCACATGACTTGCAGATGGAGGAGGTATTAACTAAAAGGACCACAGAAGGTATCACAAACCATAGACAAGCTAGCAGAAGGCATCGATGAGCAAGGGGCATCTGGCATGGAGGAAAGAAGACTTTGATGGCTAATGTCAAGTATCAGAAGGAATATTCTATGGAAGATGAATCAATGTCATCTGAGAGTAAAAATAAGGCCAATGGGTAGGAGTTACAGGGACCTAGAATAAGGCTCAGTATGAGGAAGAGCTATMTAACAACCATCCACACTGTCTGACAGTGGAGTGGGCCACTTGCTGATAGAGTGAATTTCTCATCTCTTCAAGTATGCAAGCAGAAGCTGGCCATTCACTTTTTGGGAAATGTTCTGAGAGAGAATTATGATTATTGTATGGCAGACTCCAAAGTCTCTTCTGATTCTGAGATTTTATGATCTAGGACAGTGTTGGTGTCAGTGGGAAGGAAATGGAAGAAAACAGAGGGCAGAAACCTAGATTACTCAATTGAAAAAAGAACCATGCATTCCTATAGTATAGAGCAAGTGTTACTAGCATAAGGGCAAGCTTCSTCAGGGAGTTCCCTGTCCAGGTTCTTGGCATCCCAAGCAAAGAATGGAGTAAACTTGAAAGAAAACACTCTGAGAGAGCAGAATGGGATGAGCTGCAGAGTAGCTCAAGGCCAGGTCCACATAGTACAGCTCACTACTATTGGACTGTGTTAGTACTTCCCCTTCTTGTCTGAGTGGATGTGGGGTTGATTGGCATGTTGAATGACAGATGAATTTAACACAATTTCTTCTCTTTACACATGATTAACCCTCCCCCAAAGCACAGAGGGGGAGCAAACCACAGTGTTAATGATAAGTTAAATGTCAACTAGCTACAAGTTAACTTAGGTCAGTCCCTTGGGCTATTGCACATGCACAAGATAGGGGACTTTTCCTTCATGGTCTGAAATTCCCCTTGTGGTCTTCTAGCTTCCTCCTTTTACTTCCAGATGACTCAGTTTCCCTTGTCAGGAAGGAGCTTGGTAGATTATTGGATGGGGTTGAGGGCCTTGGGGGTGCCAAGAGTCCTAAAGGGCAGTCCCTTCCCTGTGCCCTATCTCCTAACAGAAGGATCCACCATCTTCTAAGCCCCAAAGACCAAGATCATCCCCAAATGGTATAAGGCCACAAATAATTGCACTTCAAAGGAGATCTCGATTAACATCATTCACAGGATTTTCAGGATTTCACCAAGGACAAAAACTGGAATGTTAGTGATGTTTGAAAAGAGGAGAGCAATGTCCCTCCAGATCCCTTTTCCATGCAAAGACTGAAACACAAGCCTGCTGAGATCCATGGGTGAGTGCACAAGGCACATCCTTGGAAGCAGGCCTAAGGTACAGGCCAGAGGGAAGTTAAAAAGCAAGATCAAGAAAGGGTGAACTGACCACTGAGGGAGGAAAGTCAGTGACAATGAGCAGGTATTCCAACTCTGAGTAGGCACTGCCTGGCCTGCCTGCTGAAGGTCTCAGAAGCTGGTTCTAAGGATGCSGGGAGAGTCAGGAACCAGAAGACAGGTTGTAATGCTGACGGGGTGGAATTTCCCAAGTGACCTTGTAGGTGTCATTTCACCCCTCTTCTTCTTTCCTGTTATGGTATGGAGGCTCCCTCTTACCTTAAAAATGCTCTGTGCTTTAGGGAGGAAAACAGCTTCAGAAATTTACAATGGCCTCATGTGTTCTGAGTGTGTGTGCTGTGGTTCACTATTTTCAGGGCCAGGGCAGGGGGTGGAAGAATTGGTAAGAGGAGGTAGAAAGGAAGGTGAGAAGACACTGTGGCCAAAGTCACTTGGCTTTGCAGTGACATCCTAGGGAACCTCGAGGGTGAGGACTGGCACAGGGCACGTGTCTGGCACCCAAGAACCCAGCAGCATCCTCAGGTTCTGCTGTCCTTTCAGTAAATCCCATTGCAGAATTCGGGGGCAAAAAGCAAGGCACGCCCCTCCCCCACTAGATGGCACTGAAACGCCTTGTTCGCGATTTTTAAAATGCAGGGAGCAGGGGAAAAAAAAAAGACAAAAAGAATATGGTGGAGGTGTGCTCATTTTGACTTGCAATCCCCGTTGTGCAAAGCAGGCTGCCTGGCACTCTCTGTCCCCCAGGACAGCTCTTTACTCGGCAGTGCGGGACCTTGGCTTTGGAGTGTGAAAAAGAATGGTGAGCGTTAAGAGTGAAAACCCCAGTATCTGGAGCTGGGAGGGAGGCTCCCAGCCTTTGCGGCTCGGTCTCACGTGAGCGAAGAAGGGGGCGGGGGTTGGGATGAAACGGGCTTGCCTGGGGGCTACTGGATCAAGGTCTGGGGTCCAGCATTACSTCCCAGTGCCCCTGCAGAACCCAGACCAAGCTGTCACTCTCAGAAAATGACACACCCTGCATCGAAATTGCCTTTAACCCTGCCTCCCCTCAAAGCACAAGCCCCCCAACATTTTCAAAATATTTACTAACCGTCCCCTCTTATTAAAATTCTTTTTCTGGTCTTGAAAGTACAGATYAAATTTCTTCTTTCTTTTCCTGCGAGGAGGGAGGGCAGGTGTAGGTGTGTGTGTGTTGGGGTTCAGGGCGCTAGCTTAGGGCTGGACTGGGGCTGGGAGGTGAACCCGGCGGTCACTCTTTGCTCAGCTCTGGGTGGAAACGCCTGTAGTGCCTGTGGCTTCCCAGGAGAAGACAACCATCAAAGGCAAACCAGCTATTGAAACCTGGACGCAGGAGCTTGCCCAGCTCCTATAAAAACCGATTCTGCAATAGGCAGTCTTTTCTTCAAAGAACTGTGTTGGATTTGAAGGAATTTTCCATGGTTCAAAAGAGCCATCCCTAAATTTATAATATACATGTAAACATGCTACATGCCACACATATGTATATGTGCATACATATGGAAGTGGTTGGGCACATACCTACCTAGACACCATTGACTTGCCTGGTCAAAGAATAAGGCTTAGACATTTCGTGCCTGGGAAATGGTGCAGTTTATCTTTAAGAAGGCTAGAAAAATAAGAGATGAGGCTCACGTTGCACGGATGACATCACTAGCTTTTGGCTGCGCGCTCCGTGTTCTCGTCTGTGGGTTTTAGCCAAGGCTGCAGCGCCCGGCGCCCGAGCAAGCGAGCGCGGCAGCGGCTTCCTCCGGCGCCCACACCCGGGCGATGCTATTTCTCAAGCCCCCGGGGCGCAGTCAGGGATCCGAGCCTGGGAGGCCTTGGAGCAGCAGCCGCTAGAGCAGGAAGCTGGGAGGGGAAGACCAGCGACCCAGCCTCCCTCCCCCACCCCCCCGCCCCATTCACCTCCGCGACCATCGTGCGTCTGGAGCCTGGTTGCTGGACGCCGAGGCTTGGACTGGATTCTGTGCACGCTTGCGAGTGAGCCGGCATGTCGGCGTCTGAGTGGGCTGCGAAGAAAATGGTGCAATCTGAGAGCGGCTGACCCTAGTTGGACTGAGCAGACGCGGTGCTAGAGTACCAGGGCTCAGGTGGCAGAAGGGGGCGGGTTGTTTTGAGGAGCCGGGACCAGGTTTTCCTCCGTGCCTGCAGCAATTTCTGTGCACCTGGGCAGCTCGCTCTCGGGGATGCGGGAAGCCAGATGAAGTGAGGCAGAGGAGGGTCTGGAAGCATTCGGTGGACACTCCAAGGAGAAAACCTCGCTGGAGAGAACAGCAAGACGCCCCGGGGGCTAGCTGAGGGGCTGACAGCGCGCAGCGACTGCGCGACCCTGTCCATGGTGTTGAAGGCGCTGTGCGCGGAGCTCCGAGCGCCCGGCGCTGCTCGCCCAGCGCTGTGCGCCCTCCTCTGCGCAGCCCGCCCCCCGCTCCAGTCAGCTACCGCCCAGTCTCCGCAAACCCCAGGCCAGAACTCGTCCCGTAACGCCGCTCGGGTGTCCACGCCGTCCGCTGGAGGGGACGCCTGAATGGCGAGGCCAGAGGCAGGCAACACGGGAGCTCGCGGGGAAAGGTGGGCAAAGACCGTGCGTCCGTGGGAAGCCCGCTTCTGAGAGCCCCGCGTGGGCCAAAAGGAACAAGGGTGACCAGGGAACGGATTTTTTTTTTAAAGACCCGACCCAGAGAGGAAGAACATTTCTGGGTGCGCATCCCAGGTCTTTGCTTACGGACCGGAAAGGGGGAGAGTCCCTGAGAGAGAGACCCGGGCGAGACTCAGGACAGTTGTCCTTGGCATCTGGAGGTTTCCTTCGCCRGGCGGCCACATCGGGGGTGTTTCAATTCATCCTGTCGACTAGTGGCTCCTCTTGACAGCACCCACCCTCATCTTCCCCAGAAAYCAGGAGAGTCGGTCCGGTCTCTACGTTGCACAAAGAAATCCCAGCAAGCTCCACCGCAGTTGCGGACACTTGGCATTTAGTTTCTCGGCCGAGGGCAGTGGCGCCCGAAACTCGGCTGAGCGCCGAGGCAGCCGCCTTGGAGCAGTAGCTTTCTGCGSTGCGGGGAGGGGGCGGGAAGCGGCTGTGTGGAGTTCGCCGCCGCTTGAGGCTGCACCTGCCCCGGAGGATGCCCAGGAGCCCGCAGGAGTCTCGCCGGATCAGAACTTTTTAGGCTGCCCGCCCCCATCCCCGCAGTCCCCGGGCCGTGCACCGGTAGGTAGGGGCCGAGGGGGCGCCGCGGCGCGAGTCCCCCTCTTGTCCCCATCCCCCAGCTCGGCCGCCCGCCGCTTTGTTCCGGGCGCGCGGAGGGAAGGCGAGGCTGCGGCGGATCATGCCCATGGTGTAGCCGCGAAGCGGAGGCATGGCTGCCGGAAGGTTACTGCTCTACACGGGCCTCTCGCTAGCGCTCTGCGCCCTGGGCATGCTGGCTGTGGCCATCTGCTCCGACCACTGGTACGAGACCGACGCTAGGAAGCACAGGGACAGGTGCAAGGCCTTCAATACTCGTCGGGTTGACCCTGGCTTTATTTACAACAACAACAACAACTTGCCGCTCCGGGCCAGCCGCTCACGCCTGGACCGCTGGGAGGGCAAACTCCTCCGGGCCCGGAATCGCCGGCAGCTCTTCGCCATGAGCCCCGCGGACGAGTGCAGCCGGCAGTACAACTCCACCAACATGGGCCTCTGGAGGAAGTGCCACCGTCAGGGCTTCGACCCGGAGATCGCTGCCCTCATTCGGAAAGGTAAGCGGGAGGCGCGAGGCGTGGCGCTGCAGAGAGCCTGGCGCCTCYGGGTAGGCCCTGCAGCCCCTGGCCTCTGCTCCTGGCCACTAGCTGTCCATTTGCCCAGGCCTGTCTGCACCCCCGAGTGCCCGAACTTACCTTCCCATAGATGGTAATGGAAAGCGGTGGAGGCTCCTTGTCTTGCTCTWGTGTGTCCAGATTCGCGTGAAATCTCATGGCCCAGGGTTGTTATCCAGGATAACGCTTCATTAGCGTCCGAGAGGGAAGCGAATCTGTATCGTTGTTCTCTGAAGAAGCCCTTCTTCTAAGACTGATATGTCCGTGTAATAGACTCGGATTCTTCATCTTTTAGATGTCGAACTGATCCAAACAAGGAAAACAGAGGGAAAAATCATTGGTCATATAAACATCAATACATCACCAACCTTTGTGTATAGCGTTTCAAAACCTGTTGGCCAGGTAGTAGCATGTCACAATTAAAAAAATTTCTCCTTTTGAAAAAGTGGTTGACAAAAAAGTGAGTTATGTGCAATAAATATCAGCAGGTTTAATAAGCACAACAAAAGTAATACCAAAGTTGGAATTTCAGAGAAAAAAATGTGGTTTTCAGAGGACTTACATGAAAAATATACAAAATACACCAAAACAGAAAACAAGCTGYATTTGCTAATGATAACATTTTATTCAACACATTAACATGATAACATAAATGAAAAATTCTCCTTATTTGATGCAACTTGTAAATCTTGTATGATTTATGTGTCGTGAACCATCCTATACCATCACCCCACTGAAATATTCTTTGGATGTGATGTGTGTTAATATTGATCTGAAGAAATATCAGGGCTGCAGCCTGAGAAGATATGCAGATTTTGTGAGTCATGCCCCCTCCTCAATATTTCATTGACTTCAACTACTAATATTGATACTAAGGTGACAATGATGCTATTATTTGCAAGATGCTTTGAGCCCAGGACATAAAGCGGTTCTTAATGTATCCTATCATAATGCTGTTGAGGTTACTGATGTTTTTAAAATAGCATTTGTAAGAACCAATGTTCTTTGATTTACAAAAGTGTTGAAACATTAGAAAAAATTAATTTAAAAAGTCAACTATTTGAGAAAGACAGGCAGTGGGTACAGTCTAGGAGACCAGTTCACATTTAGGAGGTGAGGTGGGTTCAGAGAGAGAATCCATCTTGGTGTTTGCTTTGTAGCTTCTTTAGAATGACTAGGGATTTCAGCTGATTTAGTTACGGGTGTGTTCATACTACAGATATCCTATCTGCTTCATGACCAGGTTCTTATTAGAGSCAGGTGACCCATTTGGAGCTCTACAACTTTATAAAGATGTACAGGATGTTAGGGGATTTCAGAAGAGAGCAACTTGGGCTTGGATTGAGAAAGTAGGAAAACGAGGAAGGAGGTAGAGTTGTTTTTGACAACGGGTGACAGTTTTCAGATTTCTTAAGTGTTATTTTATCTGTTCTTTTTGCTTTCTTTAAAATGGAAATGGCAGGAAGTTAGCTGAAACATGGGGAGAATTCATGTTAATAATGACTGGCAAATACTGGCAGGATATTCTTGAGCACCATCTAGAACAAGACAGATATCCTTTTTTTCTGGCATGAGTTAACTCCACTTAGAGACAAGGGGATGGAATTTATGGCTTCTGGTGGTTCCATCCAGGGCTCTGATTCTGTGTTACTCTGCCTGGCAATCTGACTAGAAAGGTTGACTTGGTCTGTGCACCAGAGGGATTGGTTACCATAGTGACATGTTCTTCCGGTGAAGCTGGAAACACAGTGACAGGGAAAGGGATAGGGGAAGAATGCACAACATTTTGACTCTGTATCAACTGATTTTTAATTGCAGCAACAGAAAATGGACACCCACAGCAGGGGGATTGAATACACTGATACCTAGGGTTGGCAGGGCATTGTATTTCACTTGAACTAATGGAAATGCTGTTCCCATCACCTCAAATACAACAATCACTGTCAGCTTCAAGCACCTGCTTACCATGGCTGTTTCTGTCCATTTGACATTCTTGTTAGGTATTATTGAGATAGATGGCATGCCAGCCTTACAAATTGTGAGAGATTTGAGGTCACTATCTTCATTTTTAACCTTAAAGCATCATCTTTGAGAACCAGATCTGCCTTTTCCAAATAGCAATAATACATTTTGGAAATAAGTGCATTTTATATTAGAATACACTGGCAATTCCAATAAAATGTAGAACATAATTTTTAGACTTAATCAGTGTTTTTTTTTCCTAGGTGAGCAGATTTTATAAGGAAGTTAAAAAAAGRAATTGATGTCCCTATATTTGAATTTAGGACATCTTATCTCACATTATTCAACAGGATCCTCAGAAGATATCTTTGGCTTTTGTCTTTTTGAAACACATTCTATTAAGATTCTGGGAGATCTGTTTTGGGCAAGGGAAAAGGAAAACCAGAAAAAGATTATTTAAAATCTACTAATATTATGGGAAAATGTAAGATTTATCTAAATGATCGTACAGCCCTGAGTCATTTATTAAATCATCATTCATTACATTCAAAAGTACCATTTGTGCATTTTAAAAAGAAAATGAAACTGCCAAATTAATAAAACAAAAGTCAAATTTATATCCACTTTGAAGATATGGTCCTTTGGATTCATATTCTTYCTGAAACCCATTTTCTTCAATGCCTGCTGCTATTGCTGTGCCCACAAGCATGCATGTATCTGTTCACTGTGTACTTCCTTGTTTGCATTACTGAACTGTACCTTCCTGGAGGGCAGGAAGAATAGACATTTGTAAGATATATTTAACACATGCTTGATATTTGGGAATTATACAAACAAGGCTTACAGCAATGTATTCACCAAGAGCTGACTCTATAAGAATAATTGTGTGGGAATCCAAATAAAAAATTAGTTGGAAAATCATGAGTTTAAAAGTGTGGCTWTTGGGCCAGATAACATTACAAAAGATGCATGATGATACCCTTTAGGAAGATTTCTTGAGWAAAATCTTTGTCAAGAAATTAGGAGAACACACAATTCCTTTTGGATAACATGTCATTGGATGGACACACATCACCCAAAGTCATTATTTTTCATGTTAAAAAGGATTTTAATTATTTCCTTCTTGGAGGTAGGATTGGATGGGGGGGGGTGCAGCAAAGATAGATTATTTTAAATTCCCATGACCATGACCATGGAGAGTCTGAAATGAGATCCTCTTTTTTTTTGCTTCGGAACCTCTTCCTTGTCTCTCTGAAAAGTCACCTTAGCCACTGGGGATCAATGGCAAGATCAGTTTCTGAAATCCAAGAGATTTACATCAGAAGAAGCAGCTAGGCCTGGGGTTGTGGCTCAGTGGCAGAGCACGTGCCTAGCATGTGTGAGGCCCTGGGTTCGATTCTCAGTACCACTTAAAGATAAATAAATAGAGGTATTGTATCTATCTACAATATCTATCTAAAAATATTTTTAAAAAAGAAGGAGGAGCTATTGGTAGGATTTTGTGCCAGGGAACATCTATATTCTTGGTTTCTACTGAAATATTATGTTGATAGGGTTTGAGTTAAATAGACCCTTAACTATTACTCTAAGAACTTTTTATTAGTATGAAGATTTGCCTTTTAATAAATATTGGCCCAAGTAACCATAAAGTGGTTGTCAATTCTCAGAAAATTATTTTCATAGGACATTATGTATGCTTAAAAATGAATAATATTGTCGGCAAACACATACTATGTATTGTATTATATGATGTATTATATGATGGATGGGCACACACATGACCAGGATGGAGGGATAAATAAGACCTGCCTTCAAAATTAGTGTAAATCCTTGGTGTCACAGAAAACAAATTACAGCTACAGGATAATGAGAATASTAACAGAAATGGATTCAGAGAAATACAGAGGAGGCAATGGTGGATTGTGGCAGCAGTGGGCTGAGATAGGGAGGTTAGGGAAAGTTGTCCCAAGGAACGAAATCTAAATGGGATTTTGATGAAATTTGCAGTTGGATAGGGAGAGCATTTAAGGCAAAGGGGCTGGCGTCTGCACAGCCATGGAGGTATGAAACAGCAGTTTGGCCTTGCAAGAGTTGATTCTRTGGGGAGGGAGAGGAGCAGAAGAGGAGCTAGAGAACAGGCAAGGACCCAGTCAAGGAGCTTATATATCAAACCCCCTGTAGCTGTGCTGCTCAGTAGGGTAGCCAGTAGCCCTATGTGGYTAATTAAAATTAAAATAACCAAAATTAAGGAAAATTTAAGAATTCCTTTCCTGGTTGAATTGGCCACATTACAACTACATAATAGGTGCACGTGGCTAGTGGCTGTTGTATTGGACAGTTAAGATTACAGTGAGCATTTACAGTAGATTCCATGCCACATGGAATCTAAAGCCTCTAAAAAGAAAGAGCACATTCTTTGTTTTCACATGAGAACACTTGCATGGTAATTTGGGCTTAAAATTCAGTTTATTATTTTATACTTTAGGAAAAAAMTGCTTCTGGAATGTTTGTAGAAGGTTTTTAGTTCATGGTCATTTATCCTAAATCTGTATTTTATTAATTTTCCATCATTGACTCACAGAATTCCCACCTACTTCTCTCTTCTTTGCCTTTCCCTGATTCCATTAAAAACAAGTCACTATCATGGCCACTCATGAGGCTGTGGGGCAGAAGGGTCACAGGTCAAGCCTGGCCTGMAAGACTCAGCCCAGACCCTATTTCAAAATTTAAAAATGGAAGAGTCTTAATTCTAAATTAAGGTAATTAGAATGGCTTACACACCTTGTTTTGAGCTCCATGGAGAGAAGCTCTTATACATTTTGTCATATAATTTTTTGGTATTTACTTTGCTCACTGTAGTAGATGCTCAAGTTTTATAGACATGAAGGACATAGTCACTGTTCAACAGTTATTTATTGAGGGCCTATGGGCTGGCCATCAGSTGCAGTGTTGGATAAAATGGAGAAGCTTACATTCTGGGT